CACAAAAAAAACAAAACAATTTTTCAAGAGGAATGGGGGAAGAGGCCTTAAAGTGGAACTTCCCCTTTTGCGTGGAGCTCCGCTTTAAATGAAAGGTAATAAAAAAAAATGTGTAAACAGCATACCATTCACAAATGTTTTGGAGGGAGGACAGACATTCGAAAAAAATGACTGCAGACTTATAGAAAGCTAGGTTCATACTGCCCTGCACTGTGCATTCTGAAATCGCATCGATTCCCACATCCGCAACCGAACCGTGCAGTGCTTACAAGAAGCTCGAGGCTGCCATTCACTCTGAATGGCATCCCCACAAATCTCAGCCTGCAGTGCGGGAACCGCATGGTAAAAAGACATGCAGTTTCCATGCAGCCACGTTTTTAAAAAGGTGCATGTGGTTCAAATGAAGGAGCTGCCATGCCTGAGCAAACAGGGGCCACATGGTGTGAACCAGGCCCCAGGAAAAGTTAAATTCAAAGACAGTTTGGTATAAGAGACACAGCATAATGTGTCTCTGTACAGTAGGACTAGAGTTTGGGAAGAAGAAGCAGCACAAGGAGCCAATTTGTTCCTGCGCGGTCAGTGAGCATGCCGATATGAAAATTGACTGACACAGAGATGAGCTCATTACTGTGCTGCTTCTCTTTTCACTGTCCAGTAAAAGGCAGGGGAGGGTCTAGTTCTAGTACTACCTTGGGTCAGAGAAAGTGGGATGATTGATGCTGGTCATCAGACTAAGGACATCTAATGACAGAAAAAAAAAAAGTGCTGAGAGGGAAATATCTGGATTGAAGGTGAATTCTGCAACAAGAGATTTTCTTAAACTTTTAATGGGCTGTTCTTTTTTAACTTGTTATTTTCAGCTGGTGTTTTATAAACGTTTTATAAGCGTTTTATAAACGCCAGCGGGGGACCCCCACGCTATTTTCTTTACCCACTTGCCTACCGGGCACTTTTACCCCCTTCCTGCCCAGGCCTATTTTCAGCTTGCAGCGCTGTTGCACTTTGAATGACAATTGCGTGGTCATGCAACACTGTACCCATATGAAATTTGTATCCTTTTTTTTTTTCTAAGACATATAAAGCTCTGGTGGTATTTAATCACCTCTGGGTTTTTTCTTTTTTAATAAACTAAAAAAAACTGAAAATTTTGGAAAAAAAAAAGTTTTCATAGTTCCTGTTATAAAATTTTTTAAATGAGTAATTTTTCTCCTTCACTGATGTGCACTAATGAGGCTGCAGTGATTGGACACCGATAGGTGGCACTGATGGGCATTGACAGGCATCACCGATGGGCACTGAAAGGCAGCACACATATATGGCACGGATAGACGGCACTGATAGGCAGCATTGATGTGCACTGGTAGGCACTGATATGTGGCTTTGATATGCACTGATGGGCACTGACAGGAGGCACTGATCATCAGTGTAGATGTCTCCTCTGAGGAATGCCAATTACGGCGGCCCTCCTCTCCTCATGCGCTGTCAGTGTGAGGAGAGGGCTGCCCATAACCGGCATTTCCTTTTTTACATGCGATCAGCTGTGATTGGACACAGCTGATCACATGACAGAGCTAATGTCATCGGCTCTTTAGTGTGATCGGTGACACAGCGCACTGCCGATCGCTGGGGTGTGCATTCACAGTTAGACTGGGAGGACATCATATGACGTCCTCCCAGAACAAGAGAGCCACCGCCCGCCATTTCCTCATATGGCGAGCGGAAGGTGGCTAAAATTTGGTATGGGGGTTCCCCTGAAAATCCACACCAGACACGAAGAGCTTGGTATGGATGGAGGAATAACACCACGCAGTTTTTCTGCAAAATTTTTAAAATTGCCAGAAATTCTTTTTACATTAGAGTGAGTGAATGTTTCCACTACTAAAATACTGCATGACTGAATAATACAACTCATGCGCTATTTTAGTAGCTGTTTGGTATCTTACCACATACTTGGATGCGGTAAGATACTGCTTAGTGAATTGTCCCAGTTTGAAGTTTGCGGTTAAACTTTCGTTAGGTTCCAAAGTTCAACTGCAAACCGAATAGGGGGTAAATTGGCCCATCACTAATGTGGCATGGTCAGCAAAGGCTACTTTCACACTGATCCATAGCAAAAATATTCAGGAAAAACGAATATGTGTGCATTTTTACCACATTAGCAGAGTGGTTTTTACAGGACATGTGATGCAAAAACCACACCACGTTTTCCATTGCTTGGGAGGTGCGGTTTGAGTGCATTTATTTTACTGCACCAAAAATGCAGCATGATTTTAAAAAACTCACCAGACCCTCAACGCATCAGTTCAAAGAGTTTCATAGGAATTCGTAGTCACATTTTTGTTCCACTTTTTTTTTAGCAAAAAGCAGAAGAAAAACAAATCTATGAAAGGTCTGAAGAAGGAGCCTATTGAGTATGCTCCGAAATGCATTACCACCCCCTTCACCTCCTACATCCGACTCTGCTCTCCTAGCTTCATTTTGATGCACAGGCACATCCTGGACTCTACTTCCTGATCCTATAGATAGAGTTTGCTGCTGGACGGCTGGATGTCCCACCTGGATCCAATTACCACACCAGGAGTCTTTTTAATTATTTATCTTGTAAGTTAATTTATCAATTGTTTACTAAATAAATTGTCAATACTGCACTTAGAGGCACCTTCCTCTTTTTCTTGTTACTGCATTAAAGCCTTGCTTCCACCCTAAGAAGAGCTTCCTCAGTGTTACTGCTCCCACCCATCCCTGATATCCATCTGGCACCTTTATCCTACAGCTACAGAGGTTGGGCTCCAAGTAGCGCGCCCTATATAACATTCATTTTCGGTTTCGATTTTCTTGCCTATTCACTATTGTCCAGAGACCTGATTCACACCTGAATAATTTAAAGCAGTTCTTGACAAAAAGGATTTCCATTGTATCCAATGGTGTCCACATTCATACAAGTGTTATGTCACTTGAAGCTTGTCACTCAAAAAAAAAAAAAAAAAAAAAGGGTACATGAACTTCTTTGGGGAAGAGTCACACATTTTGTTCCCAAAAAACTTCAATGGGAGGACCTGAAAAATGTCTGAAAACATGTTTTATGGAAATTTTAGCATCAGTTTCTCCTAATGACTAGCTTTCCATGACTATAACAAAGGTACACAAGCCTGAAGATACTTGTACAAACGTCCATTTAAAAAAAAAAAAAAAAAAAAAAAAACCAACAAAAAATGCATGAAAAAACCTCAAGTGTAAACCCAGCCGATTATATAGTGCCATTGAAACCAAGTCTACTTTTGGAGCATTTTACACCCATATTTAGGGTCCTTTCACACAGGACGCCCCGTTCAGCCGATCCACTTGCTCTACGGGGGATCTCTCTCCGCTGAGCAAGTGGATGGCAGGTCTGTGTCTGTTCTGCTGCTGCAGAGCGGACACAGAGCAGCTCACTCTCCTTAATAAGCAGTCAGATGAAAACGGACCACTTGTCAGTTTTCATCCGATCCGAGAGACAGAAGGGGAATTGGATCCCAATCCGTCCGTTTGGTGGATTGGATGTCGGCGGGTGTAAACGGACATGTCCATTTACACCCGCTGCTGCTCCATAGAGGAGAATGGAGGCTCCGATCGGGTCCGCCTGAAAAACGGGCAGGAGGACCCAATCGGAACATCCATGTTAAAGAGCCCTTAGGGTGTACATAGCTCCATCACCTCTTCCCTCACCCTGAATCCCCTTTCCCCATGTCAGCGGCCGGGGATTCCTCTCCCCTGCAGCTCCTGTCACATTCTAAATCAGCAGGGCTGGGTTGGGTAGGGTTGCCACCTCATTCCTTTAAAACCAAACACAGGTTCTGTGGCTGATGAAAGTTATAATTAAACTCACTTGGTGCCTTATCTGCATTAAATTAGCCTCAGAACCTGTGTAATGAATAAGTGTTCACTTTTAAAGGGATGAGGTGACAACCGTAGGGCTTTACCCACACAACTGCGTCATTCATTCACAGCAGTCTGTGAATGAGTAAACTGCAAGTCCCATCTTCCACTTAATGGTGTTGATGAGTGCTTTCAAACAGAAAGCCCATAGAGAGGTACAGACATGAAAGCTGAAGATGTGTCTGCAAGACAAATAAATGCACAATTTGTCTGCAAAAATATGTACATAAAAATAAAAAAAGTTTATATATATATATATATATATATATATATATATATATATATATATATATATATATATATATATTTCTATGCATCCATACAAAAAAAAAAAAAGGGAGAGAAGAAAGAAACATACTAAACCTGAAAAAGAACCCACAACACACCACAAACAAAAAAAACAAAAATAACCTAAAATGAACACAAAACAAAAAATATAGAATTATAAAACATCTTATAAAATTACAGAGAAACATAAAACTAAATAAAAAAAATAAAACTAAATTAAAAAAGTTTAAATCGTATTACTTATAAAAGAAACATAGCTAAAAAAAATCCAAAATGAACATAAAAATAAATTGAAAAAAAAAAAAACCCATATTAGATATAAAAAAAATACTAAAACAAAAAACCCCTCTAAAATAAGGAAAATAAACTGGAGTCTTATTATATATAAGGAAACCTCACTATAGAGATCTTTTAAATGTCGGGAAAATTCTGAACAACCCTCATAAGCATTTAATATAGGAAGGAAAACCTGTGGTCAGATTGGAATAAATTTAGAACAGGATGGAATATTCCTCAGATTTCAACCAGGTAGACCCCCAATCCGCTCAGGCTGAGCTAATCACTAATTGTAGCCATGTGCGCCTCGGGAAGCATCCCCTTCCATCTGACGCTGGCTGAAAGAGCTGAGCTGGTCAGCTCCTGACAATGAGGAATAGGCGGCGGGCGTGACCGGTCTTGTGACGTTCCCAGCTCCCCTCCCAGCAGCCGGTCACCCTGCACGGACCGCGGCCACTTTATAAAGCGGTGCAGCATCCTCCACTCTCCCAGCTCGCTCTGCATCTTCTGTAATCAGCATCATGGTGGATAAGTTCGTTGGCACCTGGAAGCTATGCGATAGCCAGGGCTTCGATGAGTACATGCAGAAGCTAGGTAAGCTGGAGTCTATGCTCTGTACACATTCTGCTGCCTGAAAAGTGTGTGTGTGTGTGTGTGTGTGTGGTGTGTGTGTGTGTGTGTGTGTGTGTGTGTGTGTGTGTGTGTGTGTGTGTGTGTGTGTGTGTGTGTGTGTGTGTGTGTGTGTGTGTGTGTGTGTGTGTGTGTGTGTGTGTGTGTGTGTGTGTGTGTGTGTGTAATTTCTTTTTTATGATTGTTTCCTATTTTTAGGAATTTGTTTAAATTTTTTTAAATTAGAAGTTTATTATTGCAATTTAAAAAAAAAAACCCTATACTTTTAACATTCCAGAAAAGTTTTGAACATCATTATGCTTGAGGTGATTGTAGCTGTATTAGTGCACTTGTGACAGAAACATTGACTACTGATGTGATACTTTTTTTTTTATTTGCACTAACATACAATTTTGAGGACAAGCTTTCGGCGTATGTCCCCTTCTTCAAGGTCCAGGCAGTGCTCCACTTGAGTACTGCCTGGACCTCCAAAGAAGGGGACATACCCCAAAAGCTTGTCCTCAAAATTGTAAGTGCAAATAAAAAAAAAAAAAAAAAGTATCACGTCAGTACTCAATTGAACATCATTATGCAATTGAAATGAGAGAAGCACATCCTATCAATGTAAAGATCACTCTCTTGCTAGTTTTCCAATGCTGCCTGAATCATGCCAAATTTTTTTGAACTGATAACCTATTGAAACTGTCAGAATATCTTGGTCCTTCTGACTTCGCCACTGAAAATGGAAACCATTTTAAATTGCAAATTGGCTGAGGCTTGGTAACCATATATATTACAATCCAATTATTGGTAGCCAGTTGGGTTGACCTTAGCATTGTATGGTTGTGGAAAGATCTGTAGGAGATTGTACAATCGGTCTATAATACATCTGGTGCATTTATGGCTTCAATGTCAATCAACTTTAGTTGATGAAATGACAAAATAAAACCTACCTGCCAGATTTTTAGGGAGCTGAGGCAAGGAGCAGGTAGTAGGTTGCCTTGATCTTCACTTGATTTTTAGGGGGTTGGAGAGCCAATTGAAATTGGCTGCAGTTGCCACTTATAGTGTATGGGTAATGTTCAGATTGCAGTTCATTACTGTAATCTTTACATAGATCTAGCTTTGGATATTTCTGTTAACACAAATGCACACAGTACTTTTTTTTTTTTTTTTTTTTTTTTTTTTTTTTAACCAGGATGGGTACATTGCAGTGTTTTGATGTGCATTCTGTAAAGCATACATACATACTACATTTTTATGCAACACGCCAATATGGTGTGAACAGAGCACATAGAAAACCATTTTTTTTTCCTTGCACTGAGCCTGCATTAACCAATGCAGATCTGCCATGCTGTGAACAAGCCCTTTTAGGTTACCATACCTTCCCATTGTACAGTACATTCTGTTAAGCTGCCAAAGATGGGTAGAATTTTGAATGACAATTCTTCAAAAAAGAGTTCTAATTTGCATTTCATTCAGTAAAAGTTAATTCTACAATCTGATCTTAAAAGCAAACATAATCCTTCTAACAACAAATGTTCTGAGAATTTTATATTTTTTTTATACATTTTCCCAAGAATTTTTTTATTTTGAAATTCTATCCATCCATGGCCAGCTTTAGATGTGGATGAAACTGTAGATCTCTGAATGTGAGCTCAAATGATGTCCAATGTATTCCTTAAATCAGGAATTGAATATTCTCTGTATCGGTTTTGAAGTGAAATTTCTATCTACTTTTTGTTTTTTCAGTAGCAATAGGTGTGGCAGGTGCTAGTGCTGGTATAAGCCAATGGGGTTGATTGCCTAAAGGCAAATTAGGCTGTGCACTTCAAAGTTTTTCTAGATCTGAGAACATGCAAGGAAAATAAAAAAACAAACAGCATTTTTGCTTGCACACGATTGGATGAAAGAAATCAGCAGAGCTTCGCCTCTTTTCAGAGCTTCCCATCGGATATAAAGCAACTGCACTTGCAGTGCACAGTATATTTTCCTTGAAGTCAACCCCAATGTGTTTCACTGAGATTTTTCTAGTCTATTTTTTTTTTTTTTTTTTTTTTCCAGTTTTAGTAAAGTCCTGGTGGACATACCTTGGTAACTAATCACTTCTGATATGTCCCTGATTTTAATCAGCTGCCCTCCTATATAGAAACAAAACACTGTTCACTAAAAGCAAACTTTTTTTTTTTTTTTTTTTTTTTTATAATCCAAATAAGCGACTTTCTTTTTGGGATTGTATGGTACCTTTTAAACCACATTGATAAGACTTTCAGACAGGTTTTTTAAAAAAAAAAAAAAAAAAAAAAAAAAAAAACAAAAAAACTGAAGGGAGAATTTTTTTTTTTTTCCAGTGTGTGGCAGGCTTTGGCACCTAGAAGTTTACCACCTTTATCCTTTGTGGTACACCACAGCAACAAGCCTTTCTCAGGTGGTTTTTTTTTTTTTTTTTTTTTTTTTTTTTTTTACACTTTGTAGTAATCCTGAAAATCTTCAGTTCTCAGGGAAGCCCTGATGAACAACCTCCTTTATTTACATTTTATGGTACACCACTGTTGAACATAATAGCATAGGGTACACCTAAAATGTTTGGCACTCTGTCACAATTATTTTACAACCCTCTATACAACATTAATAATGAAAATTGCTAGACTGCTGAAGTGTAATGTAGTGGAGAAATGTCAGAGGACACACTGGAAATGTCACTGGAGCTGGCACGCTGTCTGCATTTGGAGCAGTGCAGGCGATCCTGCGCTGCTGTCAAATTATGACACGCGTCTGCAACAACTGCATCCACCTCTATACACAGGTCAGGGGGATGCAGGTGCCAGAACAATTGCAGCTGACGGCTGGTGGTGTCCATCTGAATGAAGCCTAGGCTCCCTAAGTGAAGGGACTGTAACTTTGCAACCTTATTGAACTTAGCTGAAAATGTTGATGTGGGTTTTTTTTTTTTTTTTTTTTTTTTATATCCATATCGGTGTGTTTTGTTCATACATCCTGCACGGATCCATCCATTACTGCCAAGGCCTGCTCTGCCTCTTCACATCAGGCTCTTATCCAGCTACGTGCCACTGGCGGTTCCCTCTACTACTGCTGGGTGTACCCAGGGGTCGTGACCTGGTCTCAGCCTGCTCCAAGTCCATCCCCACCATCAGGGGCTCTGGTGAACAAGCAGACTGGGGCTTAGACTCCGCGCCCTGGGGAATCCCGGTCTGTGGATCCATAGAGCTACCGTCAGTAGGTACATGACATGCTCTGTACTATCAGCAGATGGATTGGGGACAGTAGAAGGGTAGGATCAGAGAAGATGGGATCAAAAGTTTTTTTTTTTTTTTTTTTGCAGAATTAAAAAAAACCGCAACACACACACTATGTGCTTCAGCAACTTCTCCACTAAACTCTATTGTAGCAAAAAAGTTGCTTTTTGCATTTAAAAAAAGTCCCCTACACTTTCCAAAAACACAGCAACTCAAAAAATCTCAGATGTGAATGTGTCCTATTGGAAATCATGTTAAATGGACTGTAGTGTGTGTATGGTGAGCATTTTTACATTTGGTGTACTTGTAAATGGCTGTAATTGGAGCTCTAGTGTGCAGTGGGGGTAATTATGGGGTTCTTGGTTTGGAGTAACCAACATATACATTAGAATAAGTTACCCATGTTGCAATTTCTTGTATCATAAGGGGGTTCAGGATGTATAAAATATCCGAATATGTGAGACAGCACAATCATCATACGATACAAAACATTGTACTGCCTATGCAGCCCAGACCTGGGTTAATGATAGGTCAGGATCACAGATGAGTGAGCCCTGAGAAGGCCCTCCCTAGCTGTCAAAAATGGGACCCTTTTATGATGGTTTGGTGGAATTCTGCTCTACGCATTTTAAAAAGGGTGTGTGTGTGTTTTTTTTTTTTTTTTTTTTTGGTTTTTTTTTTGTGTGTTTTCTCTCCTCAGTATCTACTGACTGTGTGTTTTTGACTAGAAATAAGACTATCCTATACCCCTAAAGAATACAATATCAATATAAAGTTCTCTTCTTTGCAGGGGTTGGCTTTGCCACAAGGAAAGCGGGTGCCGTGGCAAAGCCAAACGTGATCATATCTAAAAATGGTGATGAGATCTGCTTGAGAACGGAGAGCACCCTGAAAAACACAGAGATGACGTTCAAACTTGGAGAGGAGTTTGATGAGACGACTGCAGACAGCAGGAAAACGAGGGTGAGCATTGCATGGCACAACCTCGGGTGTGTGTGTGTGTGTGTGTGTGTGTGTGTTTTATATGCTACATTAACAATTCTCATAACTACTGCAGCCTCAAAGTGGTCATGCCAATCCTCAGTGTGAGACTTATTGCATGTTCCTTTAATTAAACAACTATTTCCTGCTATACAAAAAAGTGCTGCAGCACTTGGCCTTGGTTCACACCTGTGTGACCTGGGATGCAACTTGTAACAGTCGCATAACAAGTGAAAACACATTAACTTCAATGGTGGTTCAATGGACTTTTTTTTAAGATTCCTGCACTACTTTGATGTGACTTAAATGCAGCTTGAACCCCTAGATGCTAATGTTGCTAAAGACTAAAGCAAAGCATTGGAAATCGCACAGCAATGGGGTCACAGCAGTGTGAACTGAGTCTTAAAGTCAAATTCTGTGAATACTAAAATTCCTTTACTGCCTCCTCCCCTGTGCTGCAAGGGTTACATTCTTTGTTACTCTGGGGGATGAGTAAGGTGTAATATTAAGGGATTAACCCCTTAGGTTCCACAGTGAGTATAACAAGCATGCTTTACTGCATATACAGACTGATTTTACTGCTGTGGGTTTAGTAACACTTTGTACAGTGCAGGGCATGTAGCCCTGTATTATGTCAGGATGGCAAAAGCTATCCACAAGCTGTGAAATGGCAGGAAGTCACAGCCAAGATGGTGGTGCCAGGGAACTGAAGACTGCCAAAGAACTGTCTCAGGTGAAGGCAGGACTGGAGCTGGTGAGTAAAAGTCAGCAGCTACAATATTCATATTACAAGATAAATGCTATGTAGTGCAGAGCTCATCGCATATAGAATTTGTCGTCTTGATATAACCTGTGCTTGCTTACATGTGATAAATGAAACATCCAAGAGATGTTTGGAAATTGATACTTGCAAGAAGCTTCTTTTTTCTTTTGTTATAAATAGGTAACTTAAAAGGTGTTTTTTAGATCAAGAGTCAGGTGGACATATGTGGCTAAACCCACCAAGCTAGTAGGTTCTACTCCTTTTTTTTTTTTTTTTTTTTTTTTTTTTTTTTTTTTTTTTTTTTTTACTTGCTGAAATTTGTCTATTGGCTTGGGAAAAATCCAATACAGCCACTGATTTTTGGGTTTAGTTGCACGATTTTCAGTTTACTCCCTTTTTTGCATTTCATTGCTTGTCTGCTCGTCAACAAGGGTTTGTTTATACAAATCAGAAAATGCTGAACAGTGGTTACTTGGCTTCTTGAATTTGCCTATGTCATGCATTCTTTATAGTCTTCAGACAGATGGTGGTTTGGATGTGTACCCTCCCCTTGTTCCCTTCTGTACACAAACTTATTTATCATATTTGTATTTCAGACTCTCATAACCTGCAATGATGGAGTGCTAAAACAGGTGCAGAAATGGGATGGAAAAGAGACAATTATCACAAGGGAACTGAAGAATGAACAGATGGTGGTGGTCAGTTTGCTTTACATTTTATGTCTAATTTGTTGCTTTGGAAAGGAAGTGACTGCACTCTTTACACACCTGTATAGTATGTGCACTAGTTGTTGAAGCAAATTTTCTATCCACATTTAATTCTGGATGGAACAGGCAAGGGTAGTGGGGGGGTGGGAATGCACAATGTTAGTGTGGGGAATCATTAAAACCTCTGAGAATGCCTGTCTGTTCTTGCCTCCTTATGTCAGTGACCTGCACACCCCTTGCTTCTTGTACAGGTGTCACAGGAAACCAAGTCAAGGAAACCCCCCCCCCCCCCCCCCCCCCCCCATCCCCCAAAGGGGGTGATAGACAAGTAATACAAACTTGACAAATGTTCACTCCCAATTCCATTCAAATTTTAACAAATGAAATAAAGTTGAAGTTGGGCTATAATTTGCATAAAGTAAATGTCATGAGCAGAAGTTCTACATTTGCAAGGTGAGGTTTGCCAATTGTCCTGAAATTTTGAAGGGGGTGGGGGGGAGACACAGGCTCAATATGTGTGACACTGTATTTGCACGCCAATCGGCTAGAATGCTTGACCACCCGATATTGTGTAGATCCCACTTTTGCTGCCAACATAGCCCTGACTCATCATGGCATGGACTCCATTCGACATCTGCAGGTATGCTGTGATAGTTGGTACTAAGCCATCAATAGCCAATCCTTTTAAGTTGCAAGGTGGGGCCTCCGGGGATCAGATTTCCAACAATTCCCATAGCATGTCTGCAGCTTCTGATAATCTCATGTAGCATGTCTGTCTGACAGATTTCTGTAACCATACATTCACTGAGTGGCCCTTGTCAGGGGCTGTACTTTAAGCCTCTTGTATCAAGTAAAGCTGGCACTAAGATTTTCAATTGCATATTCATGTGAGAATTTTTGTACATTACTTGTAAATGTCATTTGAAAGTACTTCAGAGTATAGCTTGCTTTTAACATTTTTGGTTTTGGAATAAATTTTAAGAACGAAAACCACAAACTGTTCAAGGAAAAATTCCATCCTGCGCCTTCAAATGTTATCACTGTGGGGTTTACTTATGAAAGCTGGAGAGTGCAAAATTGGGCTCACTTCTGCACAGAAACCAATCAGCTTCCAGGTCTTATTGCCAAAGCTTAATTTAACAAACTGAGTTTGGAAGCTGATCGGCTACCATGCACAGGTGCACCAGATTCTGAGTGAACAAGCTTTTGGAAATCTCCCCAGTGACCAAAAACTAACATCAATTTGACCCCACTAATGCTTGGATAATCAAATGACCATTTTTAAAATGGAAAAATTCAGGACAAAATTCTACTAGTATATAGCCAGTTGAATTTTACCACCAATGGTCTAAACCGTAAATTGGTTGCCCATCTAATTTTTAACTTGTTATGGTGGAGTGATCTGAGTAACTGACGCTTTTCACCAGCACTTCCATGGGATGTCCAAGGTATTAGACAGTTGGGAATTTTGTGTTTTGGTAACAATTTCATGTCTGCAAAAATATATATGGCTTTTATAATGGAGAAAAATTAAAAGGCCTAAGAGTTTAGACTAAGACCCCAGTTGTAAAGACTGTGAATTGACTAAAGACCAGATCTAGTGAAAAGTTCTATTTGTAAGATGGACATGTCATTGACAGACAATATCCATGTGGAGGGATGTGGAGTCACTGACATCTGTATTGCCGACATACAATGTGAACAACAAATTCTCTTTGAGCAGTCCAAAAATCCTGACTAGTGTCCTTGTATGTAGCTTTAAATGTGGTTGCAACTTTTCAGTTGTATCTTTTTTTTGTCTGGACTGTAAGAAAATATTTAATCTATTGTGAACCTAAGGCTGGCCTTGCACTTACAGAATTTCATTAGAAAATGGTTATTTTTAAAACATTAGTTTAACTATTAAAGTGGACAGTTCAACATGTTGGGTTTTGACCAAAGTCAAAAAAATGTTAGTAAACACTTTCTATTCATTGAATTTGCTTTTTGTCCAAGAAAAATCAAAACTAGTCTTATGTGCATGTACTTATCAAAGTTGATCTAGAAGTAGAACATTCATACTGTGAAGATCGAGACTTTGAAATGGTACTTGAATACTTTGACCGATTTGTGTAGCATACTTGTTGTGTAACATACTTTGTTTTACTGTTAATTTCAGACCTGCACGTTGGATGATGTGAAATGTGTCCGTCTGTATGACAAGGTGAAGCCCTAGATTTCAGTTTACGAATAAGACTGAAACCGGAACACTGCTCAGTTCAATGAGCCTAGCTCAGCTACACTACTCTGCCTGTGAATCTCTATTTTTACTTATTAATCAGGTGAACTTTTATGTGGAATTGTACATTAAGGCTGTAGTGTATCCAATCTGAACCTGCTATGAATCTCCAATAAAGTCCTCACAACCTGACTTAAGTGTAGTATGATCTGTTAACCTAATTTTCCAACCAGTTGTCACCATTTCAACTTGCACATATTGACACTCTTTAAACAAGCTTTGAAAAAAACCTCAAATGGCCACCTAAGCCCACATCCTAGAGTTCAGGGCTATTTGGGATTATTATAATTTTTATTTATTTTTTTTTGTAGCTTAAAGCAGGACTACACCCCCACTTTGTTCTCCCCCCTGCATGCCATGTCCCAGGTATTTTGGACCTATGGGATCTCTGCACACAGTGGGGATTTCCACACATGTACACAGATGCTGCTAGTTTCTGGTGTTTGGGACATTGTAGAGACCCATGACATCTGTGTGCATGAATGAGAATTCTCAGAATTGGTGTAAACTTGCTGTGGGCTTTTGTTAGATCCCCAAAAACCTGGCCGAGCAGTGTGCCATGTCTGCATTGAAAGAATGTCATGGCGCATGCATACTTTGTGAAACTGCCTCCTGGGAGTGTTTTTTGTGGCAGTACATGGAGACAGCTGGGGGGGGGGGGGGGGGGTGCACTTGTAATCCTTACCAAGACAAGAAAGTGAGCAGTGCCTCCTTGTCACACAAACTGTATGATAGTTTACCAATATTTAATAATAAAATATTTTCTAACTCTGTAATAGGAGCAGAGGACTGGTTCTATAACTGGTGACAGTCTGCTTTAATGATGCTACTAAAATCTCATGATCTGTCTGTTTTGTTGATTCACATCTGTGTTGGGCATATCAACACAGATGTAAATGGGCCCTCCATAGACTTGAAAGGGAGCAAAAGATTAATCGCTCATTAGGAGCTGCTCAGGTAAATTTCTCCCCTTCGGTATATAGTTTGAGGTTTAGTCTCAGGAGACTAATTTCCTAACAATCTCCTGCAGTAGAAAAAATACCAACTTTTGTTCTAAAATATTTTTAAAGGGACATTAAGTTGCTCGCTTGGCCCCTAATGTGCATTTAATTTGGAATTGTAGGATGTGGGTGCAAAAAAAAAGCAGTATCTTGAGGTGTCTCTTAAAGATCCAGTAAAATGTTTTATGCTTGTGGTGGTCAGTCATGCCCTTGTTTACACCCGGAATTGCATTATTTCTAATCATTCCTGTAGGCAGACTTTCCCATCTAACTTATTTGGTCTGACTTTGACAGATTTTACTTCATAAAAGGTACTGAAGCACTCTCAGATTTAGGAAAATTTTTTTTTTCTCAACGCGTTTCAGGATAACAAAATTGAGAAATGTGTATGCATCATGATGTTGCCAGGGAAATCCTAAGGGCCCATTCACTGTGCATTGCAGTATGCAGTGTTGGTATACAAGCACCAAAAAATAGATCTGCAGTAATTGTGACACAGCACATCCCATTGGATTAAGAAAAAGATATTTAATTTTTTTTTTATGAAACCCTGGATTCTTATGACTAGCAGGCCCCCATGTCGCATCAGAAGTACTTCTTGGATGAACACCACAACCAGTTGAGAACTATGCCATAGATCCCGTTTGCCTAACCTTTGGCCCTTGGACCTCGGCAGTGTATAGTGGGAAGATTGGTTGGGGTAATAGCAGTCCCTACTAGCCTCATGTAACCTGTTCCTAGTTTCATATTGTCCTCTGCAGCATATCACCAGCCACAAATGTACATTAGGGGCATAAAAAAGCCAGAAAATGTGGCATAGAAAATCTATGGGCATTTACACTTTTTTTTTTTTTTTTTTTTTTTTTTTTAAGCCAGTTCACACCATGTAAATTGTACAGGAACATGCTGTGCTTTCCTGTGCGACTAAACATGCATGCAAAACACACTGCTTGTGTGATTTGTAGCCATTGTCGATAAAAAAAAAAATTAATGTCCCAAATGCAGGTGCCTGCACTGGATCGCATTATACTTTTGTACCATGTGATCTGGTTACAGTGCAAGTAGGGCGAACACTACTTTTTGGTGCTGAGCAATTTTGGCCCATTCAAAATAAGGCTTGAAATCACTGCATGTGATTTGCACAGAAACCGCTCTGTGCATGGTCTGAAATGGCTCTTAAAAAGGTTGTTCAGTATGCAACCTAAAATGGCAGATAGTTGTAGAGTTGGTGTCCTACAGATGCACGGAGCACCTGTCATAAGAGACCCTGAAATGTTGTTGCTGTTATAGATCCAAAAGATAATTCGCGTGTTAATTATCTTATTATAATAAAGTAGAACGAAAAGCAATAGTCTTTCATTTTGGATAGAGTAAATATCTCTATCTGATATGATTATTATTATTTTTTTTTTTTTTTTTTTTTTTATCCTTCCTTTTTGGGGCTGGGGGGAGATTTTCCCTTTTTACTTTCTGTCCCATAGCCAAAACAGATTAAATCCCTCCAGAGTGACGGAATCTCTGTCACCAGAACTAGTGTACCCACTGGATGATATCCTTGCTATTCCTGTTTTGGTGACAATCACAGAGCAAAAGGTAAATCCCAATATTCTGGATAAACATTAAGAGGACAAATAGATGTTGAATCTTTTTAAAGGGGCCACATATAACAGTATAAATCTGACAGGTGTTCTAATCCTTCACTCTGTAGTGTATACTTTAATAAGCCATTTCAAAGCTGCTTTGCCAATATGTTCTCCATTTAAAACTGATAAATAAAAATATATATTGCAAAAGTGACCCATGACGCTGCTAAACATTTTACAAATGTGGGTTAGTAATACAGGCCATAAAATGGATACCTTTTTGTCACATCTCCAACTCTCACAGGGCTGCATCACTCCATGTGCATTAACGCATGGTAATGTGCAATATGGTGCCTTCCCCCAACACGCCCACATTGTAGTGCCGTGCAACTCAAGGCTACACACAGTAGTAATGGGTTGCAAAAATATTGTCATGTCTGCTTTTGGACATGCTGTGGTGCAAAGGCAGCTCATTCAAAATGAATAAACTTCCTTTAATGCACTGCACACTATGGGGGGTCAACTAATGTAGGTGCATTAACATAACACACAAATGTTAATAGGCCCTCAGGAGAGGTGAGTGTCCTCTTCCTATGTGGATTCACACTTCCACAAGATTCAAAAGGGCCATAACACATGTGCAGTATATCACACGTTGCAGCCTTTAGTCTTTTACACATGGTTGTCAGATGAATTTTCTACCAAATTCAACTGTTGTAAACAGTAGAAATGGGTTGATAACACAAATGAATAATCTAAGCAAATGAGAGTAACTGTTTAACTCTAAGTAGCATACCAAATCGCAGTAGAGATGGTAAACCTTGACAGTGAGCATTTCCTTTTTGTTGTGATTGAAAGTACAAAACTGCCCAATGTCGACACCAATAATAATGCCTCCCTCTACAAGCTCATGCTGCTTCAGAGCCTAGCTCCCAAAGAACTATGGTTGAAGGATAAAGGAACTTTCAGAACAAATCTGCTTATTTCCTCTGTAGTACATCTCACCTAAAAGGCCGTGTCCTCTGCCACTTTACATTACTGCTACCTGCATCCTATGCCCGCAGCCATCCTTCTGCACAGGTTCTCCTCATAGAAGTTTTCTATGGCCATTTTACCAGCATAATATTATGGCCATGGGATGTAGAGGTGGCAAAGGAGGGTGGTTTAGGTCATGGGAGTTGTGTAGGAAGAATGAGTGTGTGTGTGTGTGTGTGTGTGTGTGTGTGTGCGCAAATCCTCCTCATAGGGTATGGCTATGGCACATTGAGGTAGGAGTGACTGCATGAATGTCCTATATTTTCTGCACAGAAAGGGTTGGTTTCCTGTAATGTCTCCTGTATTCTCTGTGATCAATTCAGTGATTGGCAGAGCTCAAGTGATACCAGCTGTCAATCTCTTCCAAAACACTATTTTCTTTGGGGCTACTCAAGTTTCCATTTTTGCGTCTCTGGACAGTTACAAGCTATCGCTGACCGCACTTAGTAAGTCTCTGGGAAATTGTTACTCTTGGGAGACATGAAATGCACTTAATTAATTTGTCAGTGATGGCACTAAATTTCCAAGCCTTACTACACTGGGCAAAGATCATCAGCTCAGCTTTTGTGCTCAACCAGATTTTATGGCCACAGCCCACCAAAATCTTGTTTCCACCAGAATACTGCACAGTAGATCCCCATAGAAGTCTTCTATGGTGTCATCTTCCAGCAGGAAGAAGATTTTGGCAGGGGGATGTAAAGATTGCAGGGGAGGGTAGGTCTACTTTGTTTTACAGCACAATTATCCATCTGGCTTCTACAACATCATAAAGGAGCTTTCCTCAACCTTAATGGGAACCCCTACTAAAACCATTTTTTTTTACGGGGGGTCAATGGTGAAACATTGGTATTCAATAGGAAGACTGCAACCCTTACAGTTGTCAGAATGCCAACCTTGAAAATGGCTGAAGATAATTGGATCAATCTGCTGGTTTTGGCAAGCAACTTTGGCCCTGGAGCTATACAGGCAATGTTAGGAGGGGTGGTTAATCAGCCACAGCTCATGGAACCCCCATCAACCTCTGAGGGAACACTGTGGTTCCATGGAACCCTAACTGAGAATTGCTGTCGTAGAGTAAGGCTTTAGCAATACACTGGAGAAGGGGAGAAACTGTAGAAAAAGTCTAATTTCTTCCTACAGAGTTGCTGTTGTGTAATGCCTCTGGTAATCTGTGACAAATTTAGATGCAAATAGTGATTGGCAGAATTCAAGTGAAAAAAGCCTATAATCTCCTTGACAATAGACGCATCTCTGGAAAATCACTAACCTTGGGTGTCATGTAGTACACCGAATTACAGTTGCCAGTCATGACTCTATA